TCAAGCCTGGTCATTCATGACAAAGCACTGGATGCTACCACGTGGGTTCCAAGGTCCCCAATGATAGAGACCTACAGTTTGAAAAAACATGAACATCTCTTTGAAAAAGCCAGAGGCTGTTTTGAGAATAGAGAGGGCATAGATTCTAGTATGTTTTCCATATATTCTATACTGGCACAGCAAGGTCCTTTTATTCTAGGCTTTGAGGAAAAAATAGAACATTTATGCCTCTTACCAGTTTGCCATGTCAAGGAACGCAGGCTCAAAGACTTTCTTCTGTTTCCTCTTTCACTAAATAACAATGTCTTTATGGTTTCAACAAATAATTATTTCCCACTTAGGTGCCCCGCATTAAGGATAGGTTAGTAAGACACCGCTTGTCTGAAAGTAACTCAGTCTAGTGGAGAGTGACACACAAAAGCAAAGAGAGCACGACATAGCAAGAAAAGCAGACAGCGGACGTTGTAGGAGGAGCGAGATCTCCGAGAGGTAACCTCTGGTCTGAGGATTACAGGAAAGTATAGAAACTGCAGCATAGAACGAGCATCACCAGACTCAGGGCTGTCATATGTCATAGGGAAACGGCAAGTTCAACACTGGCAGTAAGGCAGAGGTTAAAAGAGATGGGAAGGAACCAGAAAGGATGTGCGGCCACTCCTTTGCTTTAAAGACTTATACACTAAGGCCCCCGATCCTGAGTTCAGACGCGCATATTCATCTGCTACTTTCTGAAATCCTTGTATATCTCCAGGAAACAGCGTGAGTGTCCCAGACTGATCATCACTGCCACTTCCCTGGTGATCTCTTATCCTAGTACTTGGATCACCATTTACTTATTAACTTGCATCAAATGGCCTGGTGTCATTGAATACTGTTTTTGTGTGCCATTCCTAGAGCCAACTCAACCCTTTGTTTGGGATGATGAAAGCATGTTGAAAGTCAGAAAGACCTTTTGCAGGTGGAGCCTGCCAGACCATTACTGGCCATTCAGCACAAGGAGTGTTTTGAGAGACATGGATTATCCATGTGCGCATAATTAGAACTACTCACTGCCCTGAATAAAATCTTCATACAATCAGGACTGAAAGATTAGTTTGAGAAGAGTACTGACAGCATATTTCCACGACAGGGTGCCCTTCCCAGCCAGCGAGAGTATTGCTGTAGACAGGGTATCTCTGTTGTGGGCCCTTCCGGGCTGATCAATAGCTTAGTTCCCTAACCTGGAAGGAAAGAAGGCACTGTTACACACTCAAGAATACCAGCCTGTTTAGAAATTAGCTTAGATTGAATCAGGAGTGTGTGTGTGTGTGTCTGTCTGTATGTCTGTCTGTGTCTGTGTCTGTGTAAGGGCTCTTCTTCCCTGCAAATATTTTTTATCTTTCTTTCCAGAGGAAGGCTGATTCCTGAGAAAGGATTTTGCTTAAGGTGTGATTCAAATAAAAAGCATTTTAATTTAATAAAACATTAACATCAACCTAAATTTTGTATTTCATATTATAGGTCCTTCTTCCCATGTCCCCACTCCCAGGAAGGTGATACATATGACCATGACCAGATGGCTTAATATTTGCAGTACTGATATAATTTAAAAGAAACAAAAAGTTATATAATTTAAAAGAAACAAAAAGTATTAAGAATGTAAGAAAGGTCTTTTCACTTGCTTCACACACTTGAGTAAAGGCAGAAAAGACACAACGTGCAGAAGCCAATTTGTCAGGTAAAGTCTTCTTGAATGCTTAGATGAGGAAAGTATTGTTTTCCATTTTCTGTACTGAAGAAAAGGGAAACACCAGTTGTACACAAGTTGGCAGTAGGTAAACTGAGGCACCAGCCTGCCAAGAGAAATGAAGAAAAGCACTTGTAAGGAATTAACTGCCAGGTCCGACCTAGAACATTAAGATTCAAGTAACTGAGCATAGTTTTTCATATTTAGAAAACCACAAATACCAGAAAGATTGCAAGGATGATCATTTTCAGCAAGCGTGTGAGTGGCTCTTGAAAGAGCCTTGAGTTGGATGGGTGCTGGAAAAGCCTAACACCTGTGTCTGCTCCTCACGTGACTCTGCACTGAGGACTCTTGGAAGCTGGCAAACGCGACAGAAGGCTACTTTGCTAATATCATATCAAATCTTGGAGTGGATGTGAAGGAGAGTTAACAGTCCAACTTTGATCCTGTAGGCTTACCGGGTGCTGGTAAACAATTGTGTTAACACTCAAAAGAACAAAAATACTCAGTGGAAATTCCAGTCCACCTTGAGATGCAAATACATCGGAGTACAGACTGAATACCAGACGGTGCAGAAACGAATTGGGGAAGGGAGGTGCTATGAACCCCATCTGACCCGGTCGACCAACTTTCCTGTCGGCCGATTCTTGACACCCGGATTGTCAAGGGTCCAAGTGGTACTATCACCGAGACATCGTGGCCTTTGTAACCACCGCTAAGCGACACTGTTTCCCTGAGTAGCTACTATAAAGGGACCCAGGGGAGGCCTTGCAATGACATCTACACCTATTTTTCTTGAGAAAAGGAAACGGGCAGAGTAACTTTCCCCCACTTTCCACAG